GAAACAGTGTTCTTTGCGTAAAATAGGTCATAATTTTGCTCTTCACTTATGATGAGGGAAGTGAGCAATTCCCTTATTCTTTCAGTTCACTTGTTTTCTTTTCAGTCTTTTCTGCTCTGAATTCATCAGGACAGATTTTTGTTCATAGGGCATAGGAAATAAATAAGAAATTATGCTTGATATTTTCATATTCAGGGTAGAAAACAGGTTTCTGGTAATTTACTCTGTGTAGTATGCATGATGCTAACCACTATTAGTACTTTTTTCCAGAAAAGTATAGATGCACTGTATTTCACTGGCAAATGGATTTATTATGTGAAATGGAATATAAATATATTTTTGGTAGATATTTATAAAATTGCATATGCAAATCTTTATTTCTAAACAAAAAATGAAAAAGTGGAATGATCAAAGGAAAACTTTGCAAAGACATTTCTGTACTAAATTTTTCCTTCAGTAAAACTGTCACACTGTTGAAGTATTTATTCAAACACATATGCTTCATGAGCACGCACAGACTGGGATCTGAAGGTGGTGTAACAATTCTGAGAAAGTGAATGTATGAAGTGTTTTTTTTTTTTCTTTTGCTTCACAAGTAAATTGCTTATAAAACTAACAGCTGCTGTTTTGAAGCTAATCTTAGTGAATTGAATGTTCTTAACCATTTCTGCAATCCCACAGTCCTTTATCTTGCCTCTCCTGCTGCTTTCCCACCACCCCTGATCCCATTAGCAAAACTTGAGACAGCCTCAGCTTTTACCAAAGTGCAGCTTTGGTTTCAGCTGCTTTTCTGCAAGAGGAAGTGAATGTTGCGCTTTTTTCTCTGTGGCATGGTTGTGATAAAGCTGTGGTGCTCTTATCTCTCTTTTAGGTAGTGGCTCTTTATGACTACACAGCGCATCGATCAGATGAGCTAACCATCCATCGCAGTGACATTATCCAAGTGTTATACAAAGATAATGATAACTGGTGGTTTGGCAGCCTAGCAAATGGACAGCAAGGCTATTTTCCAGCTAATTATGTGGCTGGTGAAAGTAAGTTTACTGCTGTCTTCCTGGTATACCGGTGTGGGTTTAACTGATGGTCCAAGATTTTACCATGTCCTGTACTGCTTATTGTTCTGAAGATAGAAATTTATGTAGCACACAGATGGCATAATGATGACTTACTGTGATGCAGAAATTGTGTAAAGTTAGCTAAGTCACTTAGCAAGGTGACATACTTGATTTAGCAAGATACTGGCACTTACTTAAACATTACAGCTTATATAGGACTGGCTTAACTATCAGTCAACTGGATTGATTCCTCATCTTTTCTTACATATGGTGCATGCCCTACCTTGGCAACATTTTAGGACACATCAAAGCACTTCAGAAACATTTTAGTTTTTTCTTAGGCAATCTCTGTTAGATCTAAACAGTTACTTTTGTAAAAACTCTTGATTTCCCTCCTACCCTAATGGAGAATGCTCAGTTCCCAAATAAGTGGATTTCAGTTTGAAGTTTTAATATAGCAGTAATGGTTAAATCTCATATCTGAGCTTTGAACTTGCTACCGGGTCCTTGTCATTAAAACAGTTTTGATTAAACTAATACACACAGACCAAACTGAATCAGAACAAATAACACAGGAAGCATCCTGCTGAGTTAACTGATGTAAAGATGCTCAGTGTCCTGACAGTTGTTCATATTCAGCTTATGGACATAGTGTGTGATTGCATGCTACAAGAAATTCAATTGTGTTCCTAAACTATCAAACTATCAGTTATACTGGTGTTTAGAAATCTTTCAACCCAACATTTCTCAAGACATTTTCCCCCATTTTCTAGTTCCTCCCTCTGTCTTTTAAGTGAAGTCTAATATTTCTGCCACTTTCCTAAAAAAAACCAAAAAACCCCAACCAAACCTGGTCATAACACTGTGATAACTTGATGATGATAACTAAAGTTAGCTCAACTACTGCCCTTCCACTTTATCCTCCTCTTGCACATCCTGTGCATTTTCTCCATCCTTTATTCCTTACAAAATAAGCCAGAGAGAAGTCTATAGGAAGAGTCTTCAATGATGGCCTGTTGTTCTTTAAAAACAAACAATAAAAAAACCCCAACCAAAACTACTGAGGCCATTGTCCAACTGTGCAAAAACCCCCTCATATATAATTTGGTATTTCAGTTGGTGACCATTTTATTACTGAATCAAAAGAAATGCATAGGATACATTTGTTAAGTATCTGCTGTATTGCTGTCAGTATGGACTTTGTTCCAAGTCATGTAAATGTTTGTTTGCTTGTTTTTATCTTATATAATTACCTATATAAATTAGCTATATATATATATATTACATTTAAATCTAAGCTTACTAATAGAAATACAAGTTAATGGACAAATTTTTATAAATTCTCATACAAAGTTTGTCTTCAATTTTCACCTGTCTGTTGACATCTGTTATTTGCTAGATTGTAATGTCACAATTGTTGACATAAAATAGATACTTTCATAATTCTTTCATGGCTCTCGTAATGGTGAATTATGGATCTTGTTTTCAGAAGAATATGAAGAACAACCTTCAGGATTAGTACCAGATTCTGCTCCTCTCCTGCCTGAAGGACCAACAGAAGCAGAGGAAGGTTCTCCAACAGTACATAAGGTAATAATTTGAGAAGGAAGAATTCTGTCAGTAGTGGTGGAGTATGTCTTTTGTGTGCCAGGTGGACTGTATTAATTTTCAGTTGTTTTTGGAAAATTTCTTATGTGTTGACCTCGTTGCAGGCAAGCAGGTAGATTTTCAGCAGATGTCTAATATTTGTCTCATGTGGAAGCAGCTGTTCCATCATGTGACAATTACATATTTCGTCTACTTTTGCACCATTGTAATGAGTGGCAAATCTCCCATTGAGTCCAAGGTTGACAGAAGTATCTCTCACAGCTACGTGATGTAAATAATGGTTGAAGAAACAACATGGATTTGTCAAAACTTGCCATACTTCCGAGCACTTGACTGTCATTCTTGGAATATGCACTGCCCACAGATTCTTCACATTTTCACAGAATCGCACAGAATCACAGAATGATGGGGATTGGAAGGAACCTCGAAAGATCATCCAGTCCAGAGCAGGAACCTAAATGAGATCACACAGGAAGGCGTCCAGGCGGGTCTTGAATGTCTCCGGAGAAGGAAACTCCACAACCTCCCTGGGCAGCCTGTTCCAGGGCTCTGTCACCCTCACTGTAAAGTAGTTTATTCTGAAATTTAAGTGGAATCTTCTGTGTTCCAGCTTACACCCATTGCCCCTTGTCCTATCATTGGACATCATTGAGAAGAGCCGGGCTCCATCCTCCTGACATTCACCCTTTATATATTTATGGACATTAATAAGGTCACCCCATGAAATTTATGTATCAGGTTGCTTAGGAAAAAGCTGCAGTGTTTTTTTTTTCGAGAGTTTCCCAGTCCATATAACAATATCCCAATTAAAGATATAAAATGTTATCATAAAGCCTTATTAGCAGACCAGGAGATATGCTGCATCTAAACATGCTTACTTATCAATGGATATTTCTATTTAAAAGCTGATGATGGTTCTCTGATGTGAATGACTGCACCTATCCTCTAGGTTGCCCTGGAGGGTGGACTATAGAGACTTCATAGTTTGGAGAAGCAAAGGAAAGAAAGGCTTTTGTCCTGACTATATCTAACATCTCTCCACTCTCACAGTATAGTCATACTGGGTTGCAAGGGGCAATTATGTTGTTGTTTACATACTATAGTGTTGGCAGACGCATTCCTGTTTCTGTGATTTTAGTTACCATTCAGAATACAGTATGTACAGAAGAACAAAGAAACAGCAGACAGTTTTTAGTCAAGGAAAAAAAAAATAGGACTTGATATTTATTTTATTTTTTCAGATCTTTAGAGACACTGCTATGTGCAAAGCAGGCCAAATGACTCTCACTTATCCAGACAAACAGAGATTAGAAACTTTGCATAGCTTATGTTCCCATTCTGTGAAGTAAGACTGATGATTATCTTAAAACATAGGATACTTTGTAAGCAAAATAAGTAATAGGGATTAGTTCAATAACTGTTAGAATTTAAAAGTATTTTTATTCCAAAATGTTTCTATTCTTCCTAATTGTGCTTTCCACAGCTATTCATTTAATCAATTGGTACTAATGTAACTACTTTAAAAGTTACTTTTGTTCAGGTTTCTTTCAAATTACTTGACTTTTCCATGTAGTTTTCTAAAATTGAATCTAATATTTTGCATCTGATTTGCAAGACTCAAAACGTATTCTGTGTTGCTTAGTTACAATTTTTTCTTTTTTCAGATGATTAATCTAATCTTTGCTGCATAATATATATTGCAATGTTCAAGGTTAAAACACTCAGTTACTTCTATTAACCTCTTTTGTGTAGCTTTTATTTTTAATAGGTGAATAGAGAGAGGTAGCATTTAATGAATTATTGAGTACAGATTACTCACTTGGCAGTCTTGTTGAAGCCAGCTGTGTTATTGAAGCCAACTGCTATAAAACGAATTACTAAGTGTTTTGTTTCTATCTATACTTGAAAAACTGAATTAATCACTACACCACACAGAAGTAATAAATCTGAAGTATCTTTTACCTCTTTGTATCTGAGAAACTCATAGCCAAGCCATTGTCCAAGAAAGACAAGGGTGCGTTACTCCTGTAAAGGCAGACTCAACAAATATAGGAAAAATTACAACATTACTAGAAAGCATGAAGATTTCCTTCATTTCTTGTCTACGTTGGTGGAGGCAAGGAGGAAGGTATCCTAGGGGAATATGTTGCTATACTCACCCAGTTGCAGTCATACTCAGACTAGAAAAAGGAGAAATGCTGAGTTACTCATCGTCACTAAAGACTTGATCATTTTTATTCACATCTTTTTTTCTTCTTTTAATCTATTGAGCATCTAGTTGATTTACTGGATCAAAATACTTTTATGTGCATTAACTAATGTTGCTAACATTTACAACCAGTATTTATTATTCAACTTTGTGAGAAGTAAAGTTTGACTAGTTTTGATCGCTTATATTTTCTCAAGTGTCTATGGTTGATATATTTTTCTAACAACAGTTTTTGTATTACTAGTAGCACTTTTTCAGTAACACTTAATTTTAGTAATATTTCATAAAAGTATTTGTTACTTTGATTCTACTCGCACTTTGAATTAAATTGACTGCATATTTAATAATTAGTTGGAATTTTGTAGTAGTCTATATAGCACATACAGGTATTCAAAACACGTGATGAATAAAGTGTACAATGACAGTGCAAAACCAAGCAAATATGTTGCTTTTTATCTTGCACAACATCCATACATGCATAGAAGAAACAAATTGTCATTTGGCTGTTTGTCATAATGAAGGAGAGTTCTACGGCACTTTGGCTTTAGGCAATAGCAGATACTTCTGAGACAGAGCTACTAAGACGACCACTGAGGGGGCTGATCGGTTATGGCAGTTCCTGTGTTGCAGCAGTGACACAACAACTTTTCTTCTTAGTCCCCTTTTTTTTTTTTTTTTTTTAAGTACAAGAGCTGATGAAAGGAAATGTCAATTCCTTTTACATGGAAAATAAGAAAAATCATTCTTTTGTAATAGTCCATGGGGTTTATATCCAAAATATATCCAAAAATATTTATCAAATAATTAAGTTGTTGCTGAAGTTGTTACCACAAGCAGGAAAATATAACTTAATTTTTTTATTGTGTTTTGGTTTTGGCCACAAGCATGTTTTCCCAAATACTTAGTTGGATCCAGCTCTGCTGTACCTATTGTTCTTTCTAGGTTTTTTAAGGAATACTTAAATATTAGCTCTGTTAAGACTGCAAAACACAGTTACTGTGAAAATCATCGTAGCAGTTACTTGTGAGATTTTTCTACCATACAAAACTAAATAGAGCACTTAAAATGTGGAAGAATACTGTGGTTTTAATTACTGAGAATACCAGATAGTCTAATTAAAAATAGTTTTTCAACTGCAGATATTATAAATGCATATCTAGCTAATCATCAGAATTTTATGATGAGTGGATCAAATGGAATCATTAGCATTAGAAGAGGGTGTAATACTCAAGATCCAATATTAATCTTTGCAAATAATAAAAAGTTGTAGTTCAAAGAACCTGCTTTCAAAATGCTTTCTACCATCAACTTTGCATTCATAACATAATAATTTTATGCAAACCTTGTTTTCCTGCCTTATGAGTTACTTAACTCCTGAGCCACAAAATTAGGTCATAATCATCTTTAATTACAACATACATCTAAACTGCCAATAGAAATTTCATGGAGTGAAGTTCTCACTGCACTGATGAAGAATCCCAAGAAATAGAAACAGACCTGTCATCTGGCTGCTCCAGTAAATGTACTGTTTTCAGATTCCTTCAGATAAAGGCAGAAAAGACAGAAGTTTAGATAGGGTTCTATTAGAAATGAGAATTTGGGTTTTGCAAAATTTTGGCAAATCAGAGACATTTTAAAGTCAATAGAGGGTCTTTCTTTTGAACAGAAATGTTTTGCTGTCTATAAAATCTTATGAGTATGTTTTATAATTTAAGATGGCCTACCACTCTCACTATATAAAATGCATCTAATTGGGTTCTGAATGTTAAGTACTCAGTTCTGTGTTATGTGAGAATAGTGGGAAGTAGTAATAGACTGAAACAAAACAGTCTATTAAAATTCTAAAAATTAAAATTTCCATTAAAAGTGTAAAAAAATAAACTTTCTAGTATATTTATCCTTGAAAAATTATGTTAAGGTATAAAATAATCATCATAAGGACAAAAAGAAAAGGGTTACCTTCAAGAACTACACTGTTATTGCACAATTTGGATAATCTACCCAGAGATCATCAAAACTTGATTTCATCTATATTTAAACAAAGTTTGGGATTATCACTGTTCACATAAATAATTCATGTTCACAGTCTTCCTCCCCAAAGAAGAAGGTTGTTGTCAGACATTCTGAATACTTAGCCTAGCGTGTCTGAAACTGACCTGCCAGGCAATTGATTCTTAGTCTCTGGGCTTGAGCTCTTTCGATGTGTGTGTTTTTGTGGGTTCAAAATTTACTTAATAGATCTAAAAATTTCAAAAGCATATCAAACATGCTCAAAAATATTTCCAAAAATACTAGCTAGAAGTTTTTCTGCTAGTTTCATAAAAAACTTTCATTTTATAGTTTCTACTTTTTCTATTTTCTCCTTTAATGGTGCCTTTCTTCAGGTTACTGAGGAACACCTGAGTGACTGATTATCTTTTAGGAAGAGGAGGGACTACAAAGATGTGATAATGCTAATGAAGGAAACATTAAAGAATTAATGCGATGGAACTCTTGGAGTGAATAGAGCTGAAAACTTTCAAGACGTCATGAAGTGTGTTCATTTTCAAGGTTCAGAGAGGTTGCAGACCCAAAAAACCATGATATTCAATTGAATTAAAATGTATTATAGTGAAGTTTATAATTCTGCATTTCATTTATGCCTAATGTGGTTACAGATCTCTCTTTCTAAAGGCATTAACATCTGGGCTGAAGGAAACTATGCTTTTCTAGAATCAGTCTGCAAAGCTGCTGTGTGATCTTCCACATAAACTGTTGAATAGGCATTATAACA